TAACAAATTTGGGCTAAAAATATTTTTTCTGACATTTTTATATATGTGTTTTCAACTTAATTATTGCTATAAATTAATATTCTGTGTATAATCATAATCTATGGTTGGTATCACTGACTGTACAAATTTCAAAAATATGATTAAGTACATGTGTACTTTTAAATTTTTACTTCGTTTTTTCATAATTTTTATAAGTTTTTTCATAACTTCTGCGTGCCTGTAAACAATATTTAATCGCTGATTAAGATTTTTCTTACTATAAAACTTTCAGAAATGTTGAAATGTTATATGGTGATGTGTAGAAAAATGTATAAAACAAATAAAACATATCAAAACTCCCAAATCTATGGCCAAATTAAAAACCCTTTGCCTATTAGCCTATTAACCTTAAAATATCTCACAACTTACACAAACTAATATTTTATAGATAGATCTAATTTTAGTGTAACACTTGAGGTACAACAAACTAACATTACCACAGTCTAGTTTATTTCTATTAATTCAATTTACTATACATACTTGCAGGGATGTATGGAAGCCATTAACGGACCAGGAACATGAGGGTGAGAAAGCATGGTAATAGTTTTCTTTGCATAATCCTGGCTCACATCTTCGTACATTTCTTCAACACTTAATGGTTTTTTACTCTAAAATATACAAACAGTTTTTTTTTTCAAAATTTAAAATTAGATTATAATGTCTAAGATATCAAAATTTGTACGCTTATCATTTAAATAAATTTATTATATTCATATTGTTGAATTCTTACTTCATTATAACCATAAATCCACAATCTTGGAGTTTGATAAAATTTATCATATGTTATATGTAAATCATAAGTTCTGGTTTTTAATATGTCATCAATAGATGTTCTTTTTAACTSTTTTCTTTCTTTTTGTATTGAATAAACAGTTGCCTTAAAACAATATTAATAATAAATATCTGATACCAGATAAATTAATTAAAATTAAATTAAAAAAAATTCATGTTCTTGTATTTAAAAAAAATTATGTATTACATAAAAAAAAGTGAGTAAGAGGATGTCACTCTGTTGTACTGTAGGTTTCAAGTGGGTCACTGTTATAATGGATGGTGATAAATTTGAATTCAATGTTATTTTATCATTGTAAACGAATAACGATTCTGAGTGGAGATGGTCTAACAACCTAAGATATTTTATATTTTATTTATAATGCTATTAGTAATATGGTAGCTAGTGGGTTGAATTCATATATTACTTGCAAAAAACAATGTATTTACCAGAGATAGAAATATTATATATGTTTAAAATCAGATTGTTTAGGGATCAATGCATACCAATGTAAGAATAACCATATGTTTTTGTTTATTTTTTTTCACGTTTATTTGGAAAATATTGGGTATTTTCAATTATAACCTATCAACGGTATCAATACTATTTCCAATTTTATACTCTTGAATATCACTCAAAATCATCCGCGTGAATCATTATTGTAAATTACAAATTACAATTTGATATGTTAAAACATAATAACTAAAATCGTTATTCTTAGTTTATACATCAATTTTTGTGTACATTAATAACACTTAAAATATCTACAAAAAAACCGGTATTTGAATTTTTTGGATTATCAATTACTTACAAAAAACTTGTTTTAAATTTTAAGCATTGACCTATAAAAATTGAACATTTTATGAATTTTTAAGTACTAAATAATTTACATGTTTTCGATATTTTGGTCAATTTTATCAACATTTAAGCTAAATGATTCTAAAAAAAAAAACAGGGATTTGTATCTTTAATAACTTAACTGCTATTTATTAGATCAACTCATAAAAGATCTTATACTCAATTTTCAAACTATTCTACCAAGCAATATTTTTTAATAGGTATATTTATTGAAAAAAAACTAAAATAATCAAAAAAATTTTATTACAAATTTGAACTTAATAAGATTATAAGAAAACGACTATTTTATTACATTTTATAGATTTTTGGTAACAATATCAACTACTAATGAAAAACCTTGTTTTTAAGTGTCTACCTTTGGCTATAAAAATTAAATATTATACCTAAGTATACATTTTTATGTACAAAATAATTTGCAAATTTTCGAGATTTTGATGAGTTTTGTCAAGATTTAACCTGAAGTAAATCGTACCATATTATTTCGAWAACTTAACGTTTACACATATACTAAAAAATAAAATTAACAAATAAATAAATAAAAAAACATCATTTTAAAATCAATACGTTCATCGCTCCGCTCTAAAATAAGCTATAAGAACAATTGACAAAAACATTAAGGGGATGCAAGCGGTTATTTTCTGTCTGTCTAAAACACGTACAACATAAGATTATAGATGTATTCTATTTCCTTTTTTCAACGTACCAATTAATATAATGAAGCGATATAAAATCTGAAAACAGATTTGAATTTTTCTACAAGTCTTCTTGAGATCGACTTTCCCGCATTTTTGATTTTATTATCAAATCTTCTCTAAAAATTAAAATATGTAAATTCTTTAATTATTCTTTTTTAATGTATAGTTTTTAGGATTTTGAGGGGTTAAGTATTTCAAAAATGTGGTAAAGTCGATCTCAAGAAGACTTGACGACACATTCAAATCTGTCTACAGACTCTTATCGCTTCATTATATCAATCGGTACGTTGGCAATAGAACACGTCTATAATCATATGTTGTACGTAGTGGTGGACTGAAGGGGTCAAGTTTGATGCAGCTGCGTCAGCATTTTACAGGGGATGCTACCATCCCGTGCCAGTGGCGTGGAATCACATGCTAACTTTTTATAAGTAAATAATGTATACAACTGTATACTAGATCTACTATCTGTCTATCTATATTCTATGTACTAGACTTTTACAGCGTATTTAGCCTTGATTAGGGGGTGGTGACTGGTGGTATATATTTGAATATGAAATTGCGTCATTTAAAATTTAAGTTCAGTCCGCCACTGGTTATACGTGTGTTAGACAAAAACAGAAAATCACCTTTTCCAATCCCCTTAAATGTATAATTAGATTAACTTATGATGCCATTAAATGTAGTGTTTATCAATCAAATAATGATTAGAATCTTTAACTTAAAATATTATTAAAACGTTAGGCAATTTCTTGTGGATGTGATTTCTTGTGTCTTTCTTATGGCTGTTATATCTGAAGTTCTACCTACTCGACTGATTTTCATGATTTCTTTTTCTAACGCAAGTACTCCGTGTGCAAATGAGCCGTCAAAAGAGAAAAGTCCAAAACATTAATTAGTTTAATGTTGTCTCAATTAATTTAATTGTTGTAAAGATTTTTTAGATTTCACGTGATCTATGGGGAGGGGTAAAAGGGAGGGAAAAATCTCATTAGCTCACTCCCTCTTGGTTTTCACTGTTATTGCTACCCCGTGACTCTCCAAATGTCCAAATGACGTCGCTGCTCCACTATTACCACTTCTGCTGCAATTCTGCTGTGTCGTCATCGGCAATGGTGACGTGCATTACTGCCTGGCGGCTAGTACATTAATTACAACATAGTATAATATACACTTTTACATTGTGGCATTGTGAAATAACAGTAGAATTGTTATATAATATAATAATATTATTAATAAATTTAGTTTTTATGTAAAACGGAATATCAATTATTTCCCATATAGCGGCCATAGCAGGTGATTGAAATTGTTTTTTTTCGTTCCGTCGTTCCGTGGCATATGTAATGTTTAGTACGTAAGAAAAACATCGAGATATTCGATTAAAAGTTGTCAACTTGGTGATATTTAGAAAAAGAAACAATAACGGCATTTAAATATAATGTCTATATTATTATAAGTTATAACATTGTGCTCGCTCCGAACTTGGCGGATGGTGACAGAT